CTAGAGGATCTCGTCCATGGTGAAGGCAAGGTCAAACAGAAACCAGTACCAATAGTGACTAGGACGTACCTGCGACTACATGATCAACCGTCCGGAATTTTGCCGATGCTTTTGACATCCTAATGGCGACTAGAAACTCACTACGGAAGGTCACTCACTTATGTAAGTTGAAAGAAAGCCAGAAAATCGCAAATGGGGTAGAAACGCATGAGACGGGTTTTTCCCCTTATGCATGAAACCGTGAGTCGATCACCTTCTTAGAATCTTATGCAACAAACGAGGTGGGTTGTCTTGCACGCTGATGGCCGCCGTTCCTTCACGGAGCGATGTGTTTGGTGTTGTTTGTCAAAAGCCCCATCAGCGATCTCGTTAATGACCGCGTCTTCTTCAACGCGTCGCCCTAGTCAGGACCCGTCTTCGCACCCCCCACCATCGCGGTCCATTAAACGTCTTCAATAACGTGTACACAGCCTACTTCCTATGGTTCACTTACGTTTAAACGAGAAGGAGACCAATCCTAACCCTTTCATTAACTTCATTACGGCTCTACCAACACCCGGGGGTGGACGCGAACGTGCGCGGGAGCTTTTGAGAGCCCTTGCTGCACAAGTGAAACCCGTGATGAAGGCACATGGATTCACCATAAATAGCTTTGAGGAGGTATGTGTCACAAACTTTCATGATCCTCCTGAAGACCGCCAGGTTCGGGGCAAGTGATCGATGATCACTGGCAAGTGGAGTCGGCATCTAATTTCTTGAACGTCCCTTTCTCCCAGTATGAATGGAACACCGTCTTTGCGGGCCGAAACTGGAACGCGGGGGAGTCGATTGGTCAGTGGTCCTTATTTCCCTGCCATATTCTGCCGGAAGCGCGGCCAAGGTCAACTCAATAACAACTCCTGCGCTCGTAGAGCTCGTCCTTCGTAGAAGAGATGGATCGTTCTTGCCAGTGCCCTATTTACTTAGCACTCTCTGTCATGAGGTGTGTTCCGACCGTTCTTGTATTGGGGTGCTTCTCATCTTGCGCCCGGTATTTCGATTATGCTATCTCGTCCCTCGATTTCAATCACCTTATGACGCTGCTACCATCACCCCTCCGCTGGCGCGTCCCTGCCCCGATTGCTTCTTGACGATTCTCACGCACGCAAATCCCTGCTAATGATTGCACGAACCTATATCTCCTACACGTACAACTGACCAATTCATTTCACGAGCAGCTGGCGCATATCAAACACATGAATCACGGCTCGCAGTTTCAACGACTGTGGAGCAAGCTTCGTTCAGAGGTTTTGGTCCTCCAACAGCGAGGGTATTATGGCGACGGTGCGTATGACACGTGCGGATCTAGCGTAAATAAGACGTTTCTGAATGCCGTGCCTTCGCCCACCTTTCTCACCCATTCTATATCCCAACATTTTTGATATCCGATCCTTCGGAATGCCTGATTATGGCCTGGTCACATTTCGTATTCCAAAACTGCTTGCGCCAATTTTGATGGTTTTATCCGGAAATTATGGTTTTCTCTCACGCGATTCCTCTCGTCAATTGTGGTTTTGAACTCCATAAAAGGGGCTTTGGAAAACAGGTTATTGGTCTTCAGGTCAACGACTTTCAGCCCCGACTCTCTCTCAGGGATGCTCGGCACTCGACGAGGGCTTTGCGCCAGAATATCTTGTTCGTCTCCCTTATTCCTCGTCCCCAATCCTTTACCTCTCGCTGACGATGTGACTTCTCTCCTTCGACCCTTCTCTCTTTCGACAGTGCGGCGGCGCTCAACAACGAACTAGGCCAAAGACTTTGAAGCGGCGTCGACAACGAGCCGACCGTACCCCTCAAGCAGGCCCGTCGAATCACACTGGTGCTCAGACCGCCAAGAAGCGTAAACCTGGATTGAAGGTCACCAAAGACTTTGGGGGCGAGGGCAAGACACTGAACGATGGGACGTCTGGCGGTCCAGGGACTGGATTTAGGAAACGAGCTCAAAGGTACATGCAGCCGTAGGAAGTGTTGCACCGAGACTCATCCAACTACACAGCAACCGGGCGAGAGAGGAGCGCGCCTTGGCGGCCGAGAAGAGGTTCTCTGCATTAACGCAACAGCAGACGACCGAAGGCAAGTTATCTACCAGCCCTCGCGCCGTTGACCAAGGCTTACTGTTCGTGCACCTACAGAACAAGCTTCAGACGACAACGCCTCGTCCGGGTCAGACGAGGAGGTCGAGTTCGCAAAGGTAGAACGTGACGACGACCGCCGAAAAGCCCTCCTCGACTCAATCCAGACGGGAGACTCATCACTCGACCAGCTGAAGCGGCAAAGCAAACTCGAGGACTGCGCCGGATTCTTTCATCTTCCTGGCGACTCACGCAATGGCGAACCAACGGCTCCCAAAGATATGCAAAACTCTACCGGGTTGTTAACGGCTACCGACGGCGAGGTTATCGACCTTAGCCTCAGCACCGACGAAGAGGAGGGCGACGACTCCCCCGTCGCGGGCGTGACGACAACAACTATTTCCGAATCCGGAGGCGTCTGTGACATCCAACAAAACGTTACCTCAACCTCTGTCACATGCAAACCGCATGTTCCCTCAAACGGGAAATGGGCTTGTCCAATATGTACATTGTACGCCCTTTTTCACCCCCTCCATCCACTAGCCTCCATTTCAGTGTTCTATTTTTATCTCTTCCATTCCCTATGAGCGTAAACTGACCGATCACCGATATTTTTTGCAGGGAGAACCAGCCTGGACACCTCAGCTGCGACGCCTGTGGGAGCGTTCGACCTACCGACTTGTGAGGTCGATGGCCACCTTGATCATCGCAGGTGGAACATAGAAGGTAGGTTGCCACAAGCGTCGCAGTTCCATTGCGTGCTCACAGCAGCCCAGATCGACCTGACACGCGGGGGAGTTCCTGTACGGGGGGGGATGTTGAAGTGCAGGAGGTTAGATGGATATCACCACTTTCGATGCTACATACGCGTAGGGCATAGGGTGTTTTGTGCGAAAATCAAATAAAGGGGTTCCTATCCAAAGTCGTGGGTCGAGTGTTAAATGCCCTGCATCATGCGTGGGCACAGTTCCAATTGGTTCCGTCCCACACGCTCTTCCTGCTTGGCCACGAGCCATGTTTCCTCTCTTGACCCTCGTCGGAAAGGCCGATTTCAATATGCGGAGCGCGTGCACCCCCAACCCATTCAACCAAGCTCATCGAGACGTCGACATTAAGTGTGTGCGTGAGGGCTCATTCGCATCCCTCGCCAGGGACCATGAAGAGACGTTGAAGGCCACAAACCGTCAAACTGCTGTATCATTGTGGCCCATAATAGAACACCGAGTCTGCACGGACCTGACGATGCGTCCCCCGACCGGAGACGGGATTCCGGATGGCACGATTCCATAGAAACACCTGGAATAACTGGGTATTGCCTGTGGACAGAGAAGAGTGCCACGTCCTCGGGGGTTAGAATACAGGATTGCGGATGCCACGAATCGTGAAGACCCCATCGAATTTGCCCAATCCATCGACCGCGTTTGTCCAACCAGAGGTTCCGGCCGGGTCAACGATATTTGCAGATTCGCAACCGTGTAGAAAAAGGGGGTAGGCTCAATACGGTTCAACTAAGTTGGGCCACCGTACCGCCGTGAGTATATTTCCGAGACCAGTGATCATTGAAACCTGCAAGAAGAGGTAACCCTCTGCTCCAGCACCGAACCCGGGGGCGATTACTTCCCCTTTGGGCCCAAGGATAGGCCAATACAATCACCCATGAGCCCGGCCTTGGGTCAGGGGGTGTCCGATAGGATCCATGAACAAAGGGCAGAGTCGTTGACGAGCCCGTGTACCTTTCCACCGAGCTGGGTCGAATTGTCTGGAAAACCCTCTGGTGTGACCGTCGTGCTTCATTAGAATGCAGAAATCCCACTGTTTGTATTAGCGGCCGCAAAAGAAGCCCAGATTTCAAAGGCGCCAAGGAACTGATTCCAATCAAGACCCGAGAAGAATGCCATCAAATGCTTCAGCGGTTAAGGACCAGCGGGTATCCCTTGCCTCCCACCGGCGGAACACCCGTTGCAATACATCGGGATGATCTTGTTTCCGAGGAGCGCGGCCACGTGCGTAGTAGGAATCCGTGAGGGGTTCGCGACGAATCTCGACGAACTGGATTGAGGAACGGATACAGTGTGCCGTGTCCATTGTTTGCATTGATTGCAGCAAAGTGGAAGGAGGAAGCACACGGCCGAGGGTGTTGTATTCGAGCCCTGAACGTACAATCAGTTGAAACTAGACCAGGTGGATGCAAGAAGAATGCTTACATCCCCCAAGGCCACCGTTACCACCTGTAAGAACCCGACCGTACCAGGTATCTGGCGACCACATCTCGGACTTCGCGGTGTATGCGATGTGGCCCAGCGCCAATGAACCTACGAACGCCAAGGAGATATAAGATAGTCACTTATGCATGGAACAGAGGCGTGTCAAGCAGTGGGAAGACACGGTCCACCTCCACCCCATCGCAGAATCTAGGGCTCAGGGTGCGGTTTGATCTGAATGTTGGGCGCTCCGAAGATTGGCGATTCCATCGGTCATACGAGGTAGTCGAAATTGCTTGGGAGCATAGCGGTGGCTCTTCGTGCGTTCCTAGCATGAGCTACCCATTCGGCGTCGAGCGTTTTCCTCGCTTCCGTTGTGCTCTCGAGGTTGAACCCGTCTAAAACCCCCGGGCGTTCCATTTATATACCCTGGACCCTAGCCCAAACGCGTTTCGAGGGCTTTTTATGCGCACAACGTCCACCACATACCGTGATTTTGCTGATCCATACACTCAGTCGAATCCTGGGATGTCCGATGGAAGCTTACCGGTTAGGGACTGAATTCAGCCACGGCTGATGATTTCAGACGTGATGGTAGGACGAGTTGGCATCGGCGCTTGACGGGAGAGGATTGTTACTGCGGCTGATAAAGGATTTAAGGATATGGGGGTTTGAAAAAGGAAAAAAACGATCCTGGCAGAACTCGAATCTGCAATCTCCAGCGAGGCGTACGTAACAGCCGGAAACTGGCGCGTTAACCATTACGCTACAGGACCATCCTGCTACCTTCTCTGTTCAAGACTCTATATGTTCAATGTGGGTTATACGTTCAGCTTCGAGCGAAGTGAAATCAGAAGAGGACGTTATCTATAGCACGGGATACACAACATCTAAGCAACGGAAGAGCACAGAACAGCAAGACGGTACAGAGGGAGCGGAGAATTGTGGTGCATTTTTGGCAACGGTGGGAGCGAGATAAGGGAAGTGAGCGGGGATATGAGAATGTTAAGTTTGTTCGGCCGCCGTAGATATCATTGGCGCCAAGTGAAAAGATATTGGAGAGAAGGTCAGAGGGGAGTGCGTCATAGTGGTAACTCTGCTTTGGAAAATTGCTCAGCGTCTCATCAGGCCGTAGCGATTCCCTGAACGGTCAAGAAACCCAAGGCGGGCGCACTTCCCAATGATTCCGGGGAACACACTGTGGGGGCGAGTAAAGGTGGCCTGGTGGTCGAAGGCTAGATGCGACCAGCCTGGTTCTTCGCCTTCCATTCTTGCCTGATCTTCTCTGCAGCACTCTGCTGACCACCCTTGGTCGTCTGATCTTTAGGGACAGGAGCAACCTTCGCGTACTTCTGATCGAGGTCCTGCTCTATCTGCGACAAGTCTTTCTTCGGGGCAGCAATTAGCCCACGCTCCCGCAGAGCGGCCTCTCGCTGCTCTTTGGAAGTAAAGTCATTCGCCAGTGGCGGTGGGTTTTTTGCACGGACTGTCGGACTGGTTCTTGGGGAGGTTTGAGTCGTATTGGGCTGCGCTGCGGCGGGAGATTTGAGCTTGCTCGCAAGTTTCTTGAACAGGCCAAACGTCTCCTTTTGATCTGACGTGGATTGGCTGGAAAAACTTCCCTTCGTCAATAAAGGGCAAAAGTTCGCTATAACATGAAAATGTTCTCGTGCGCACCCAGGGTAGTCGTTCCCAGCCGTTTCTTCGACCGTGTTGGGAGGGATAGTTGGGAGTGGTTTCACGTCAACCGTCTGGTGCTGTTGCTCGAGCATGTCGGGCGATGTCGGAGGTATTGGCTGGAAAGGGCAGTTGGTTTGTTTACGCCGTTTGAGAGGGTGAAATCAAAGTCGACATTATCGTTGCTCTTCGCTACATGATGATGACCGCTTCCGATTCCAATGTTTTCGTCGTCATGTGACTCGGGTTCGCCCACTTTCTCTCGGCCCGGGCTTCCGGTTGAGACCCCCGCGATGACGGGCCGATTCCCATCGCTGAGTTCACTCGTACTAACCCGACCTATATAACGCAGATATCGATGGGTTGCACACACTTTTCGAGCCTAAGTTGGCCGCTGGAAAATTCTCGGCGCGATTCTGTCCAGCCGCCCGTTTCACAGCCATCTCCGCGTGGACCTGCGTCTACGAAACATACGTAAAGGGTCTCAATGACTTGCATCCACGTTCGGCCGGTCTGGGTAAAAAAGGAGGCCGGTTGCGGAGTGGGTGTGACTCAGGGTGCTGGTACCCCAGAGCGGTGGGAATAGTCGCTTTCAAGGAATTCATAATCCCCCGGACAGTGCACCTGGCCGTATCCCGTATCCTTTCCGTAAGGTGTGTGGCCCAGAGAAGTGATTCCCGGGTTAGACAGAGGCATCACTATCAACACCCCATTTCTTGGTACAATTGCTTGCCTGAGAAACGTACACGTACATGTTCATCCATCAAGGATGCCTACAGTGCAGGAGCAAAGAAAACGAGATATACTCAGTTGCAAACAAGTTCGTACATCACGAGGTACGCGGGGCGGATTGCATGATCGGTATAGACGACCAACTCGTCATAATTAAGCTTTCCACCAGGTTTTCCGTGCACCTGTTTGTCGAGGCAAGTCAGCGCTTGGGATAGTTCAATACCAAAATAACAAGATGCATACTGAGTCGTATCCCAGAGGCGGCCCTTTGAGGTGGGTTGCATCAAACATCGTCGTGTATTCAGATCCAGCGAGGACGTTATTCAGTAACATTGCTTTCCAGGGTGACGCGATCCTGTTTTTGGCGTAGTGGTCTGACCTAAAATCCTTTCAGAAGGGAAAATTTGAGGCGTCGAATAACCCTATACCCACTTAGACGACTTGGAGGAAGTGTATATCCCGGGTCCGAATCGTTGAAAGCGGCTCGTCCTTGCGGAGGTTATGTCGAACGACCCTCGAGCAATCGAACAGATGGAACAATCTAGGCTGGTGCAAAATACGTTTTGGCCTGGTTCCCCAAGACTACAGGCTCGAACTGTTCCATGCCATAGCAGGCGCTCATTACCGGGGTACTTTCCCTGTACGTGGAACTTCCCTTTCTCTTCCAGCATATCTCTATAAAAAACGTAAACGGTCAGAGGCGTGAACGCTTGGTTTGATAGACCCGCCTATGTGCCCAGTATTTATCCCAAACACTAGAGGCAGGTATAATCCGGTAAACCATCCGTACCTCTGGTCGCTTGTCTTCGATGGGGTGCGCCCACGCGGCGGTGAACTGATCAGCGACTACACATCGCTAAGATCAGGACACCCCAATGCAGCGACCACCCGAGTACACGACTCACCGGCCCAATATGTAGTATGATCCTGGGGTACAGGGAGAAGAGAGGGACCACGGGCGACCAGATACGAATCACAACGATCGCATAGGGGAAAGTAATCCCCAATGTACGGGACGGTGCGACAGGAGATGCATCCCCTCAGCGCAAGTCTTGGTGGAGTTGAAGTTCGGCGGCATCAAAGACGTAAATCGGTTAACTCACTCCTCGTGACGAGCGCTGCAATAGTTCCAATACGACCCGATAGGATACATCGTAGCTTCTTGCGTACAGCCGGTAAGAGAGCAGGGCCCTGCAAACTGAGTTCACCGGATGTATGATGCAGTTCCGCAAGGAGATACTAACCTAATCTCATTTGCTTTGCCGCAACAGCACACGTCCACCCACAGAAGGGATGGGATCCAGACCTTGGGTATCGTCGACAGTACTTGAACATTCATTTAGCCTCACAGGAATAAAGAAAGCTCAAACAGTCACCTCACATCACAAACCGCCGTCGCCACTTCGGCGCTTCTCGAGGCACACATTTTGCCACAGAACGGGTGAAGCATCCCCGTCATCTGGTCATAGTATTGAGGTTCAACCCCGCAAAACTAGAGGCGCTTCTGTCGGTTTTACTTGTGTGTGCACCAGCAAATGGTATCGTACCTGACACATTTGAGCCTTGGTGGCCGACGGGTTCTTGAAACTCGACATCCAGGACAGCGATCAACAAAAGGAATTTCCTAATAATTCCGGAGGCCGTTTCTCCTGAGGATACTGAACGAGAGCAACAGTAGCCACAAGAAATATGAGAATGGGAGCTCCGGTAAGGTGGACCCTAGGTCGGTTGCTGGAGGTCGTGAGGTAGTCGAGCACCTTCGGTGTGGCTGGAGTTCGCTTATCGGCCATGTGGGATGCCGACATCATTTTCCATTCTAGGGTCTTGAGTTGCTGGAACGGGCGGGTACATATAAACCGTAGCGAAATCCTGAAAGGGAACGGAAACTGAATCCTTTCCCTTTATTTTGCGAGCAGTCACTTGGCCCCCTTGATGTCGTCGCTTCCTTGTGATGAAGTGTCTGGAAGGCGCTCCTACCCCACGGCCAAGGGTGGTCACAGACGTGGGAAGACTTAAGAAAGAGAAAAAGAACCGCTCAAGTTATCGGGGGGAGGTAGGTTGCGGTACGTGGTCAACTCGTTCGTAACTTTCAGACTCGGTGGAGCCAGAACCCGAGATTACGAGCCTCACTGCCTTGGAATTCATCCAATCCAAGCGCAAAACAACAGATTACGAAACGAGACATACGGTACAGAATTAGGCGGCTCTCTCTAGATCTTAGCTACGGAGGCGCGGGGGACCGTGGTGCCATCTTGAATGGCCCTTCGCTTGTACAGGCACACAAGCCATAAGTTAGAGTTAAATAAATATGTCCATCTCAGGATTCCAGCACCGCCGTTCCAAAAACGCGGTCATGAGACGAGAGGTGCTGTGAAAAGCCTCCTCACGGCAGCTCGAGCAACTATAGGTTTGGGCGGGACGGGTGGTGCTTCGCCGTAAACGACCAGAAAGGCTGGTCGAATCGCGTCGTTGTTGTATACGACCGTTTCTTCGTAGTTCAGATCGCCGCCTGGGACGCCCAAGACCTATCCCGGGAGGTTCAGTAAACCTCAAGTCTGAGACGAGAAGAGCAAGGGTGAGGACGAACCGAATGATAACCCGTACCAGGGTTGTTCAATGACTTCTTGTTCCTCGTACACTTGTTTTGCCACCCGACCACTACGGTGTTGACGAGGAGCAAGCGGAGCTTAAGGTCTGATCGTTCGGAAGAACAATAGTCATCTGCTTCTGTAAAAGGTGAGTGTGCGCACAAACCGGGCAGAGATAGCAGCTTACTCGACGAGCACTTTGTGGTGTAGATCCCCTGGCCAAATCTACAACATTGTCATCAGCCGGGTCAAATGTTTGGGCAAGAGGCGTAATCACCTGGAGAAATTACGCCTGGTCCCTATCGCGCTCTGTAAGCGATCTACCGCTCTAGGTGGCACACATAACTACGTACCACAGCGTTCGATATCGAACGAAGACCGTATGATGGAACAAAGGCTGCACTGTGCCAGACGACATAGCCTCACGTTGTCTTCTGTTTCCCCCAAGGCACACGCTCTAAACGTTCCGTGGAACAGAAGCTGTTCAATATCAGAAGCCTTGCCAGTAACTCGACGAACTGAATCGCTAAACCACACTCAATCATTTCTTTCAATCAAGGGTGGAACGGGGATGGTCTCACGCACTAGTACTGCAGGTACGGGTGGATCAAAGCCTCCGCAGTCTCGATTCGGAAGATACGGTAGAGGTGTGGAAAGCTCTTCTTTTTGTGGAGCCAGCCATCCTGAAATAGGTGTACGACTGTTCGAGAAAGCGATCAGACTAGATCCTCCATCCAAAGGTCAGGGTGGAACGCGCTTACTTTTCTCGTATGATTCAT